GCTGAAAATAGGGCTCAAAGTTGGCGAAATCACCGATGCGTAAACATCGTCGAGACTGCTAACTTTGCGAGAGCATAATTCCGTAAGTTTTCCATGAATTTCATACTTTTGGTGTCGTCATGATCGGGAAAAGATTTCTCTACCTTTTCATAAGAAAAAGTTTTTTTTTTTTTTCCGACCCTGAGAGCAAGTGTTGGAGAGGGCCTCTCAACCCTGAAAGGGTTAAGGCTGTAGGTTCTTGCTATATCCACCACATGTGAGCCACTCTTAAGCTTGTCTAATATCTTGATTTTCTTTGTAACTCCAAGACTTAAACTCTTAACCCTTTTCTTGCCACTTTCAGCAGCACTTGTATGCCTATTGGGTGTCATGATTGCTTGGCAGATACAAGATATGGCAATTAAAAGATCAAAACATAATCGCCAAACACAGCTAGTTCCTAGGAGAGCATGGTCTTAGATGCATATGAATGGAAGATTGGAACAAGGGTGGCAGGGGATGGCAGTAGGTCTTCCCCGCTGACACAGTGGTCTAACCCACAGCCAGGAGGCGGCCTGAATTGGGGAAATATCCTGCTGGTGATGCTCCAGATTTTTTCCCCTCCTGCTCACCGAACCGTGTTGAGTTAATTTTATGAAGTGTTGTATAAAATTATGCTGCAATTTTTCATTAGTGTAACAACCAAAATGTGCCAAATAAATCCATGTAATATAACAGTGTACTGTATCTTCAAATCAGTTATCTTTCCATCTAAATTCATTTTAGCTGTAACAATAGTATTCTGAAGAACCTTACCCTTTCATATACATAGCATATACTGTATTCATAAGTGGACTGAGTGGGCAGTTAAACAGCAGATGGAACCTACTCAACACCATTACAATTGGGTAATGATTAGAGAAGAGGTAAACAAGGGCTTAACCCTTTGAGGGTCGACAGGCCCTCTCCGAAACTCGTTCTCAGGGTCGGCCAAATTTCAAAAAAAAAAAAAAAATTATTTTTTCTTATGAAAAAATAGAGTATTTTTTTCTAAACATTATAGGCTAAACAAAAAAATTTTAACGTCAATACTTACCGAGATATGGAGGTGTGAAATTTGCCAAAATTGAACAACATATGGTAACATCGCCGACTGCCGTCACCCGGTATTTTTCTATTTACTTTTTTATGTACTATTTTCAATTTTTTTTCAATTTTTCTTTTTCTGAGTAACTTTTATGGCCTCTGGGGCCCAACATGATCAGTATTTTGTAAGTTATTTCTTTTTCAATACTACACAATAAGGGCGTAAACACTGTTGTCATTATTTTGTTTACAGAAAATATTTACACAAACAAACAATATGAAATGTTGTTTATACATTTTTCAATATTTTATATACACATATACAGTCACAGGACATGTTTCTAGAAGTTCTGCAGCCTGTGGAACCTCTTTGAAACATGGTGTCCATGCACAGTGGAGTTTTGCACTCCTCAAACATAAAACGAGTGTCTCTGCGTTGTCGTGGGCGTTTTTTTGTATGTGAACAGACGTAACACCTCTTCTGAGCCTTTTTCTTCAAAGCTTAGCAGCAGTTTTACCAGGAAGTGATCACCATGCTTCAGACGAGCAGGTAGTTGTTGATTTTTTGGTTGTAACGGTCAATTGCGGTGCATTTCCTTGGTACTTGAATACTATTTGTCTGATGACAGACAAACAGAATTTCGCGTACTGTGGTTTGTTTCTGGTGCTCATCTTATAATATTTAAGCATTGAGCATGGAAATGTCCAGAAGATGGAAAAACATTGATGTACCACTTATAACTCTTGCGAACACAATCAGAAAAAAACCCAATCTGCTTTTTGTTTTCAATTTTGTCCACTGAACGCATGTTGAAGGTTGTAATCAATCACAGCTGCAGGTTTTAGAATGGGTTCATTTCTCTCTCTATGCTGCCTGCCACTGTCTGCCATTTCATTAGGGTGAATTGATGACAACAGTGGGGACATCTCGTTTGTCATGCCACCGAAATGCCATGATGTCATTGGCAGCAAACGCCTGCACCTCACCTCTGCGAGTGCCAGCATCAAACCTGGGCATATGTTTTCGATTTGCAGCACTGTGCCACACACATCTGTCATGTTCACTCGCAAAAAATCACTGAGTGGGGGCTTGTGTACCAGTTATCTGTTTTAAATATATCCCCCTTACCAAGGTATGGTTCTATCATTGTCGAACCACATCACCTGAGATGCCCAATAACTTCCTGGTATTTTGAAAATGTATAACTTCCAGTGTACACAATAATATCCAATACCAGACCACTGTAACAATCACAAAGCACAAACAACTTTATACCAAAGCGTTTCCTCTTGCTTGGTATGTACTGCTTAAAAGGGAGAGTCTTCCTTTGAACAGATCAAAACTCGTCAATTACAAGCTTCCTAAAGGGGATAAAAATAGTACTGAATTTCTGTTTCAGATACAAAAACACATTCCAATCTTATATAACCTGCCCCAGTTCTGTCAGGCCTGGTTTTATCTGAGAAGTGAAGCATACGTAACATTAGCACAAATCGATTCACTGGCATTATTCACTGAAAACCTGGTGTTGCAATCGGGGGGTCTGTTGACCAGTATGATTTCACTTTGTGCTTATACACATGTGGCATAAGCATTATTGTGGCAAAGAAAAGATACATCTCAGCCACAGTTGCCCCCTTCCATTGGTGTAGACGTGATTTTGGTGAAAGTATTGGTGTTTGCCATGGGGTACTCGTAGTATGTGTTGCTTTCCATGACAATACTTTTCATCAGTGGTTCGTCAAAGAATAACTCGAAAAAATTCCAGTTCAGTGGCATTGTTCCCAAGTGCACAAGATGGCCGTATTCCACTTTGGCCCGCCATCAAACTTTGGGGGGGATTTGGAACAAAATTGACAGCTTCCTGCCAATCCCCGGTGCGGTCTGCTGGTGGGTACTGGGCAATGACAGGTGTTGTGGTTGTGGAGGTTGTGGTTGTGGAGGTTTTTGGGTTGTGGAGGCTGGTGTGGTGGGGGAGTGGGGGATGGTGGCCTTTGTTCTAGATCAGCTGAAAGGGAGCGGCGTGGCTGGCAGCGTGGGTGGCAGCATGGCCCCCTGCTGGTGCCTCACCGCCCGGGACCACTACCACCAGCACATTTTCCATCCAATTGCAACGTAATCTTCGTCATTTTCACTGTCTGTTCCTGTTGTACAGCCCGGGATGTACTCCGAGATACACTCCTTCCCCTTGGTTTTAACATATGGCACACTTCCAGAGCGCATATATCGTCGTATATACTGACGCTTCACTGGGGAATTTTTGCACTTCACTATCACTACTGGAACTAGTTTGAAAAGCTTGTAGTTCATATTTACTATTTACTATCATCACCCCTGCTCTCATCTGAGTCTGGGATTTGGGAAAATAGAAGTTTCCTTGGGTTCTGGAACAACTGAACGTGAACACGAGGGCCCAGCACAGAGGTGGAAGGCTGAGGGTCGTCTGGGTTTTCTTCACTATTTACCGATATTATGGTCATTAGTTTTGGTCAAAAAACCCCACTAAACCACGAAACTCATCTTCACTGGCCTTCCTCACTATTAGAACTGTCACTGGGGAACAAAAGTGTCCAATTCGCCGGGAGTGAGGAGCTTCTTACCCCGAGGCATGGTGACATTGTTTACTAAGAGGGCATTCCCCCAATGCACCACTGGGTCCCAGATTTTTTTTTCTACCGCGCACACTGACCACGCAGACCCATTCTCTCACACCTAAAGGGCCTATCAGCCTTTTTGCGCGGAGATTTGAGGCCGCTAGAAATTTTTGCGTACTAGTACGTCAAAAACCCCTACGCGTAAGACGTAATAGTACGACGAAAACCCTCAAAGGGTTAATTGAGTTTCGTTATAAGTTTAAGAGGGTGAGAATGTATGGTATTTGCTAGGTAGGCCTGATTAATAGAAAATATTCTATCTGGGTCTCCCTTGGGTTTCCACAATAAAAACTATTTGTATTCATAATTTTTTGCTGATTTACTCGATGCAGTGTTTTATTTACATTTATATGATATAAAAATTGCCATAATTGATCAATACAGTTCACAAAATGTATTGATAATTTTTATGTGGATTTAAGTGTTTATGGCCTGATTGAGCTTGTAGTTGCCATGGGCTTGAAATGTGTCTACTGCATACAATGAGGAAAATATTGAACTTTTTACTAATTATTTTTTAATGTATATGGTTGAACCCTGGAATTATCAAGGTTTAGGTCTTGTGAATCCTGAAACTTCTAGATAATTGGACATTTGGCTTGTCTGAATTGTTGAAATTTTTTTATTTTATATGTTTGTCATACTTCTATCTCTTCTATCTGAAAAAAATGTTCAGAAAGAAGGTAGATTTGGGTGTGAGAAACTTAGTGAGCACATTTTGAATGAAATTCTATGGTTAGGGGTCAAGAACCAAGAATTAAAGGTATTGTTATAAGAGTAATTCATGACAAATTAATGTCCCAAAAATGTGATAATACTACATGTGCCAAAAAATCGTATAAAAAATTAAAAAGAAAATGATAAACAAATCAGGAAAAAATTAAATTTCCCTGTAAACTCAGCTAACAATAGAAAAATAACCTTATTACTTTAAGTCATTCAGATTTATTTTCATAATGGTGAACCAGAAGAAGTAACTTTAGGGGTGAGAAATAATGCAGAATAAGGCACTTTTAAAAAAAATTTCATGACTGGTTTGCCATTTTCATTTGCCTTTTAACCATACTGTATCTCTTTAAATATTGTGCAAATTGCACTCAAATTCATTTTCATAAGAAAATTCCTAGAAAATGAATTTGCACACAGGAAAATCCAGTGAGCCAATTTTGAATAAAATCATGTGGATTATGAAATGTGCAAATTCCAGTGTTTGACTGTTTTTCAATTTCTTATTACTTCTGCATTATTACAACAGAATTTAATGAATACATATTTGACAGGTCTTTGTTTGCCTTGATCCATCATGGACAGTGGAAAAAATAAAAATTGCCTTAGCCCCAAAACTGAATAGTTCCAGCAAAGACTTAAGAATTATTTTTGCCGGAAAAGAATTACTAGACGATATGGTGATTCGTGATTGTGATCTTGGAAATCACAGCTTCCTTCATGCAGTCAGGGTGGTATCTAAGGATAAAGGTGGAAATGGGTCAACAAGCATTGCTTCAACTTCTGCTGTCAGTAATGTGGAATACCTGAATGAAGTCTCAAGCTTTGAGAGAGCAGCTAAAGAGAAGGTAATTTTGTGTACACCAGGGTAAGATTACAATGTTTCTTATGGCTAGTAAAGGGTTTAATGTATTTGTGATATTTTTTTTGTAAAAGGGATGGTGTATTTTGTGTTATGGGTGTACTTCAGTTATTCATGAGGCCGAAATGATAACATCTACTGTAAATGTCTTAACATAGATGAACTCTGTGGATGATTTTATCTTAAGCTTTATTTAGCTTTGAATAGCTCCATTACAAAGCTTATTTTCATAGTGCTTTATGAACTACATTTACTCTAACATAGACAATGCTTGAATATCATAACATGTAACTTCACGTTGCAAAGGTACATTGACATCTTGGGCATTGTCTCTAGATGATTTGATCTTCATCAACCTAAGAACTCTCTCAGATTGTTGGAACTTGCCATACAATTCTCTCTGGAGGAAGAAAGGGCAATTAGTTACCCTTTCTTGACATTCTTCTCAACAATGAAGGAAATACTTAAACATAGGGTTTATAGAAAACCCACCGGTCAGGATGACTCTATGCACTATTTATCCCACTGACCTTAAGATCAAATGTGGCATCATCATGGGTTTTTTGCCTCTGTGCCCTCGGCTTATGTAATAAAGAATTCTTTGGAGATGATCAAATACATAGAGGATGCCTTCTCTGTCCTTAGGTTTCCTATACATATCCACTCCTGCAGGAGGAAAGCTCTATTTACTCACACCACTCTTAGGGAGAACTTCAACTTTGAGCATCATTGTCATGTCCTCTCCTTCCCACAGGACAGGGTGCCATCAGTATCACCTCCATGTTCTTTATTGCCAATATTAACTTAGCTGACATGACCCTCAAAACCAAAAAGAAGTCACTAGACCTCAGCATTCCATTAGGAGGATATATCAGCATTTACATAAATGAAACAGGATGTGACATACAGAATCTCCAGCAGAACATAAATGAAAGCAGGATGAATGATTCCAGAAAACATATGTTGTTTCACAGTAGTCTGTACTTCCACATCATTAACTAAGTGATGAGAGCTGCAGTTATATCGGGGATTCTGGAGGCAAGGAAGGGGATGTACATGTTGACAGGATCCAGCTCTCACGTTTTCCATGATTCACATTGTTTGCCCCTCCCTTTCCTCTCCCCCCCCTTTCCCCCCAGACCATGCTGTTTACCTTGCAATCCTGACTTCACTTTGACCTTTGGTACCAAGCCTGATCTTAGTGTGCTCGCTTGCCTTGTAAGTGATTTTTTTTTTTTTTTTTTTTTTTGCATTGGGTTATTTGTTTCTTCGGAAGCTGCAGTGTTTATTAAAGAGATATTGACATTTTATTCATCAAATTATTTATACCTAAACTGATAATTTGATGGAGGCAGGAGGCTTAACAATTTTCGTTGGGTATTGAGAAGCAACATGAACTTTTCCCACTTCGTATTTTATTTTTTTTTATTAACACATCAGCTGCTTCCCACCTAGACAGGGTAGCCCAAAAAAGAAAAACTTTCATCATTCACTCCATCACTCTCTTGCTAGAGGTACACTTACACTACAGTTATAAAACTGCAACATTAACACCCTTCCTTCAGAGTGCAGGCACTGTACTTCTCATCTCCAGAACTCTAAGTCCGGCCTGCCGGTTTCCCTGAATCCCTTCATAAATGTTACCTTGCTCACACTCCAGTAGCATGTCAAGTCCGAAAAACCATTTGTCTATTCGTTCCTATCTAACACGCTCACATATAGTTGCTGGAAATCCAAGCCCCTCGCACACAAAACCTCCAACCTTTCCTAGGCTGACCCCCTACCCCGTCTTCCCTCCACTTCAGATTTATACACTCTCGAAGTCATTCTATTTTGTTACATTCTCTCTACATGTCCAAACCACCTCAACAACCTCTCCTCAGCCCTCTGGATAATAGTTTTGATAATCCTGCACCTCCTAATCTCCAAACTTCAAACACTATTCACACCACACATTGCCCTCAGACATGACATCTCCACTGCCTCCAGCCTTCTCCTTGTTGCAACATTCACCGCCCCATGTTTCACACCCGTATAAGAGCGTTGGTATAACTATACAGGTCTCCCTCCACATTCGCAAGTTTCACTTTCGTGGTCTTTGAGCATTCGCGAATGCCCAGCCACCCAGTCATATTTAAAATATGTCATTACGAATGTTAGGTTTTCTTTTTCTTTTTAGTAGGCTATACAGGTAAAGGGGTTACTAGCCCATTGTTCCCAGCATTTTAGTTGAATTTTACAACATGCATGGCTTACGGAGGAAAGATTCTTATTCCACTTCCCCATGGATATAAAAGGAAAAGCAGTAAGAACAAGAACTATTAAGATAAAATCAAAGAAAACTCAGATGAGTGTGTATATATAAATGTGTACATGTATGTGCAGTGTGACCTAAATGTACATAGAAGTAACAAGACATACCTGAAATCTTGCATGTTTGAGACAGAAAAGACACCAGCAATCCTACCATCATGTAAAACAATTACAGGCTTTTGTTTTACACTCACTTTCCAGGATGGTAGTACCTCCCTGGGTTGTTGCTGTGTACCAACCTACTACAATAATATATAATTGGGGGCCTGATATTATATTCTATATGAAGTTTATTATATTATTTCAGTTCACTTTTTGTATTGTATCTTTTTTTATATGCTTCTAAACTGTTGTATCTGGGTGCCTCTGCCAAAAAAAAAAAAGATTATGTATGAGTGAGGTGAAAGTGTTGAATGATGATGAAAGTATTTTCGTTTTGGGAATTTTCTTTCTTTTTGGGTCACCCTGCCTAGGTGGGAGACTGCCCACTTGTTGAAAAAAAAAAAGTATGTTAGGAATTGTGGTGGCGGCAGAGTTTGTTTGAAGACAGGACAAAATAATCCTTCAATATGACGCTAACATCAAGTCTACAGCTTATTTATCTATCACAGTTGATCTAATATGACATAATAAACAATAATATAGAAACATGACATATACTCTAGAATGAATAAAGTATGTCATTATGTCACGAGTGGTGGTGGTGGTGTTGTTGGGTGTTTAAGGGCCACTGAGAACATAAGCCTTACATAGTGGTGGTGGAGGTAGCAGCAGAGGCGTTAGAGGCGGCAGTGTTGTCAGTCACACTATATACCTCCAATAACATTGGACTTCCAGCAAGCATGCGTGAGCATGTTAGATAGGAGTGAATGGAGACGAATGGTACTTGGGACCTGACGATCTGTTGGAGTGTGAGCAGGGTAATATTTAGTGAGGGATTCAGGGAAACCGGTTATTTTCATATAGTCGGACTTGAGTCCTGGAAATGGGAAGTACAATGCCTGCACTTTAAAGGAGGGGTTTGGGATATTGGCAGTTTGGAGGGATATGTTGTGTATCTTTATATGTGTATGCTTCTAAACTGTTGTATTCTGAGCACCTCTGCAAAAACAGTGATAATGTGCGAGTGTGGTGAAAGTGTTGAATGATGATGAAAGTATTTTCTTTTTGGGGATTTTCTTTCTTTTTTGGGTCACCCTGCCTCGGTGGGAGACGGCCGACTTGTTAAAAAAAAAAAAAAAAAACATTGGAGGAGTTGCTGTCCTTTTTCTATCAATTAATCGCTTAATTTACTTGCTACACTGTTAACCCCTAAATGGTTCAAATGTATATATATGTTCTCTCCCCCAGTGCTCCAAATAGTATTTTGAAAAATAAAAAAAATCTTTTTTTTTTTTCATTGAAATAGAGAAATTTTTTCTAAGTGTTATAGGATTAAAATAAAAAAATTAGGGTCAGTACTTACTGAGATGAGGCTGCAAAGTTGGCACTTAATGCTCACCTGATGGCAACATCGAGTCTTGCCGCTTGAGGAAGTGTTGCCGATATACCATTTTTGCTCATTTTTATATTTACATAATTTTTATGTTCTGATAATTACAATTTATTGTAGTTCTTGGCATTTCATAACCAATCTTTGTTCTGACACTAATATTAGGTACTGAAATTGTACTCAAATTGTCACAAACACATTGACCGGTGGACATCTACACCTGCCTTGGTCATTTACTGTTGTCTAGGACTATATACAAAGTATTCATAGGTCCCAGCAATGTTTTGGATATACGGGAGTATAGAAGAAGAAGAAGGAAGGAGGAGGAGGAAGAAGGAAGAAGGAAGAAGAAGGAAGAAGTTCCCTTGAAGCAATGTGACAGGCATCCGGGAGGGCAGTGATAAGATGAGATATGGGATGACATTTGATGGGCGCCAGCAAGGGTTCAAAGATAAGGGATGGCATTTGATGAGCTCGTATCTCTGTCTCTGATTATCTGTCTCTCTGCTTGTCTGTCTCAGAGAGAGCCACTGTGAACCAACAGGTATTCTTATGCATTATATCTACAAGCACAGTATAGCACTTTGGGTTTTTTAGGTTATCCTAGGTAATTTACACTACATGTAAATGATAATGGGAGCCCTTTGATTGAACTTTGTATAGAAAGGGGTTTGGTTGTGGGTAATACATATTTTAAGAAAAAGAGGATAAATAAGTATACAAGATATGATGTTGGGCGAAATGACAGTAGTTTGTTGGATTATGTATTGGTAGATAAAAGACTGTTGAGTAGACTTCGGATTACATGTTTATAGAGGGGCCCCCAAGATATATCAGATCACTTTCTAGTTGTAGCAAACACTGAGAGTAAAAGGTAGAGGGGATACAAGGAGAATAGAAGCATCAGGGAAAGAGAGGTGAAGGTTTATAAACTAAAAGAGGAGGCAGTTAGGGTAAGATTAAAAACAGCTATTGAGGATAGATGGGCTAATGAGAGCATAGGCAATGGGGTCGAAGAGGTATGGGTAGGTTTAAAAATGTAGTGTTAGAGTGTTCAGCAGAAGTTTGGGGTTTAAACAGGAAAGTGGGTGGGGGGGAAGAGGAGCGATTGGTGGAATGATGATGTGAAGAGAGTAAAAGGGAGAAAAGTTAGCCTATGAGAAGTTTTTACAAAGTAGAAG